TAATATGTAATGAATGTAACAATTAATGTAATATTAAGGAAATAAGTCTAAAGTAAATGTTCAGAATGTCCACCTTCATCGTCTATATAAGTTTGTAATCGATATTGAAATCACCGAGACACATTTCTTAACATTTGTAAGTCGTTAAAAAAAGACGTTCAAAAAAATGTGGACCATTCACATAATGGCCAGCAATACCACCCCAAACACTTATCGACCGCCTAGTTTAACTATGAGTGTTAACAAAAGAGGGATTGATTGATGCATCGTAATGAAAATTATGCCGATTCACCGTTCCATTTTTGTGAAATGTAGCCTAAAAATATGCGTTAAGGATGCAGTTTATATTTACAAAGGATTTTTACCGCCGAAGTTTGACTAATGTCATGTTGACGTAGTTACAGTAGTATCTATCAGTACTTGATATTCCTTTTCTTGGCTTAGAACAATTTTGGTTCTCTCATTTTTTTCTTCATATACAACTGACAAAGTGCGAACAAAAAGACCCATTAATTTTTCAAAAGCTCTTGCGTTTGGCTTCCTTTGTTCAGGATTTCGCTCGTGATATACTCTATTTGCAAGTAAGCAATTGCTCGAACATTTTTCCTAATACCCAGATCATATAATGTTAACGCTTCTATAAAAAATTTGATTTGTAATAATAAAGACAAGCCACACAGACCGATTAAAATTTTAGTAACTTATTGAATAAAAATAATTTTATTATATTATCACTCAATACCAAATCTTATTTCTACTTAAAAATTTGAATGTATTTCCGAAATTTGAAGAAAACTAAACATGTTTCGAAAAATAATGAGTCTAGGTATAGGGAATGCTATATATAAATGAAAGAGTATCATATATACAATATTTCTAAAAAATAAAATGTAGGGTGATCAATTTAAAAACATTAGGAAAATCGTAATTTTGTTTTGTAGTTCAGTCTGTATACAAACGCTTGTCAATGATTTTAATTAAACTTAATTTAAAAAATACAGTATATTGTTTACTTTATTATATAAAATAAATAAGCCTATAAATGTATGCATTACTTTTTTTATATAGGGTGTTTAGATATATGTAACACCTACATGGTGTTGATTTCATGGGGATTTCGAAATAAAAATGGTCATAACTTGTTAAATACTCTGTATAATAATGCAAAACCCAATACTATAAAAACAAAACTTATGATAAGAATATAAATTTGAAAAATATATAGGTATCCTATTTAGAAAATTTTATGTTTGCTATATCACGTAGTTATTAATCACTCTGTAGAATTCCCCATATTTTCCAAGTATGGAGAATATCAATGTCTATATTTTTTATGAATGTATTTTGGATATTCTATTCTTCTTCTTAGAGTGCCATCTCCCTACGGAGGTTGGTAATCATAATGGCTATTTTTATTTTAGAACTGCTGCTTGCTAAACAAATCAATCTTAGATAGATTCTTTAACCATGAGTTCTGCCTTCGGCCAACAGATCTTTTTCCTTGAATCTTTCCCTGTATTATGAGTCCCAAAATTTCATACTTTGGTCCCCTCATCACGTGGCCTAGGTATTCCAGTTTTCTGGTTTGTATAGTGGTGATTAGTTCTGTTTCTTTACCAACCCTCTCTAGTACTTCTTTATTTGAAATTCTATCAGTCCATGATATTTTCAATACTCTGCGGTATAACCAGATTTCGAAGGCCTCGATTATTTTTAAATTACTTTATTTTAATGTATAAGTCTCTGCTCCATATATAATAATATTGAAAATATATAACAGCGAATGGTACGTAGTCTGATCTCCAAATTTAGATTTTTGCACGTTAGAAGTGGCTTCATTCGTATAAATTCTGATCTGGCAATCTTTATTCGCCTGTTTATTTCTACAGTAGGTATGATCATTGGTTTCATTGATCAAAGTTCCCAAGTACTGATATTTTTCTACGTGTTCTATCACGTTACCATTGATTGTCAATAGGTGATGTATATTTTGTGGTCTTTTTGTAATTAGCATGTACTTCGTTGTTTTAACGTTTATAGTAATTCCCATCTCAGCACTATTCATACTCAAACTTTCGATAAGATGTTGTAGATCCTCTATACTCGTTGCTATGATCACAGTGTCATCTGCATATCGTAAGTTGTTAATTAATTTTTCGTTAACGGTGACTCCCGCTTCGATATTAAAGTGGCGATAAAATACATCCATGTCTAACTACTCTACAGATCTTCATTTCTTCTGAAAGTTGCCCATCAATTTGAATTATGGCTCTTTGGTTCCAATATAATGTTTGCACTATATTTATGATTTTATTAAATTTATAATTTGATAATTATAAAATTCAATATAAAACTTCAATAAAATTTCTTGGCGTGTTCTAAGACTCAAAATTGAATTGGAAAGAACACACAAATTATATATTAAGAAGAACGGAAAACGCAATGAATATCACCAAGACTGTAAATGTCAGTAACTGGGGAGCTGATCCAAACATCTCAATATTACTATACAGAAATTTAATGAGATCGATCCTAGATTACGGATCTATATTTTATGGCTCAGCATCAAACGCTGTACTCCAAAAAATCAAAAGTATAAAAAATAAGGCACTTAGATTAAGCACTGGTTATCTTCGTAGTACTCCCATATTGGTCATGGAATGTGAACTGAATGAACTTCCACTTTCATTACGCAGAGAATTCTTAAGTGAAAAATTTATAGTTAAAGTGGCAGTTAACAATAAACTGTTGTTAAATAAAATTGTACAATTAACCACTACATACCTAACTCATCATTACTGGGAAAAAAAGAAGCAGCTTTTAGTTGTGGAAAGTTTTCTCAACGTTTCTAGTTATATTGACGACATATGCAAAATGGAACAACCCTCATCTCGAAAATTAAACTATGAAGATTATTTATCTCCATTTACCTGCCATTTAAGTATTATTCTTGCCACAGATTTTCTTACTGAAATAGATCACCTTCAGTATGTACAAAGTCATTGGGGAGGTTATCAAAAATTATATACAGATGGTTCAAAAATGGACGGCAAAGTTGCATATGCTATATTCTACCCCCAAAAAAGTATAAAGATAAAAAACAGATTACCCGACAAAATGACAATTTTCACAGCTGAACTCATAGCAGTCAAAGAAGCCTACAAAATATGTATGAATCAAAAAGAACTAAACTATGTTATATTTACAGACTGCCAAAGCATTGTACATAAACTGAAATATAATTTACATACTTTTGTAGAAAATTATATCATCAGTGACATTATAGCACTGAACAGTGAAGCTTTGAAATCGGGCAAAAATATCATATTGTGCTAGATAAAAGCACATATTGGTATAAAAAAACAACGAAATAGTAGATGATCTGGCAAAAAAAGCAACAATGAAAGAATCCACTCTTCAAACCTATCAACTTCCTATGGGAGATTTAATATCAGTAATCAGGTCTCTCAAACGGACCAAATGGCAGAAACACTACAACAATTCGGACAAAGGCAAATTTTATAAAATAATCCAACCCAAAATTTCCGTCAAGACATGGTTTAAACAAGTTTCCAATAGAGGCTTCATCAAAACTATTTGTAGAATAAGAAGCATTCATTGTATGACTCCAGTCTACAAAAGAAAAATGGGACTGGCAAATAATAATGAATGTATATGTGGAGAGCTAGCTGATCTACAACATATGCTGTTAGAATGTCCTTTACATTTTATTGAAATATCAAATTTTTTTACCAAGCTAGTTCAAGTTAATGTTTAATTACCTTCTAATCTAACACATCTTTTAGAGTCAAAGAATCTAGATGTATATAAAATTTTATATAGTCATATTAATTATTTAAAATTAAAGCTCTGATAAAAAAAATAATAAAGAATAAAAAAAATGAAGAACAAAATAAAAAAATACTAAGAAGATCTAAACCTCCGAGGTGTCGAATCGGGTTTATGTCTTAGCGTAGTAATAAAAAAATAAATAAAAAAAATAAATAAAAAAAAATAAAAAAAATAAAAAAAAATAAATAAAAAAAAATAAAAAATAAAAAAAAAAGATACAAAAAACAAAACAGCAAAAACAGAGTAATCTGTAAATAAGTTTCTAACATTCCATGTCTTAACTGTCAATACAATACAATAGTTTTAAATGTAAATACTAACAATATCTTTTGTAAAGAGAGAACTTAAAACAAATTGACTGGCCAGTTGGTTGTCAAAACCAGTACCAATAAAAAACACACACACACATGCACTATATTTATGATTTTACTGTCAATGCACTTGTTCATAAGTATTAATATTAGTTTTTCATGTCTTACTTTATCGAAAGCTTTTTCGTAATCAACGAAGCACAAGTGTAGATCAACGTTTACATCTCGACATCGCTGAATCAATATATTCTTGGCAAATATATTAGGCTACAAATGCCAGATTATTATTTTTTACCTAAAAGACTAATTCGTATGTTTTACATAAAATTAAAATACCTACTAGAATACTCAAACAAAGCAATGAAAATATCACTCGAAGAAACAAAAGCTAATAAATCTCTCCTGTCTTACATCTAAATTTTTAAAAAGTATATTTATTTTAAAGTAAGCCGAAATTAAAGGTTAAAATAAGTTTATTGACGTTTCAATTTCCACTTCGGAAATCGTTCTCGATTTAAAATTTAAAATGCCACAAGAAAATAGCTTCAGAACAATATATTTATTTTGAAATTATACCAAGGCATAACCTATCTACATTGATGACAAACTAATAATGTCTTCGAACTTATTTCTAGCAAAGAAGTACTAAAACTTGAAAAAACATTTAATTTAGATAGAATATTGTTTAAAACTATGATAGTATAAATAAACGGTAACGAATCGAGAGAGAAAGATAGAGTGAGCTTTTAATAAAGTTAAATTCAAAAGATACTTAAATTCAGTTACGGTTATTTTACATTATTTTAATTTTCTATTAAATTAATTATATTTTTAGGTGGTGGTTGCGTGTATGGTGGTGGAGGTGGAGGGTTTGCAGGAGGAGATTCACCTTCGCAAAACTCAACTAACGGCGAAGGAGGATATTCGTATCTCGATTTCTCCAAAGCTTTGAAACATCTTACAGCGGTGGAAAGTGGTTACAATGCTGGACCTGGATACGTTCTTATTATTCCCGGTACCGAAGGTTGTGGATGTGATTATAAATGTATAGCACTGGATATTCAAAGATCAGATGTTACTTGTATTTGTCCCACTCGATGGATTTTGACTGATGATCAGAAAACTTGTAAACGTAAGTAACAAAATTATTCCGTATAACATGCTATTTAATTTAAATTAACATATTTATTGCCACATTACATTAAGCTTATATTTATAAGTGATACCTAAACCAGAAATTTTTGCATCTTTATCATTCCTACATTTTTAGTGCAAGAAATTCTTTCATTTATATGATTCTTAATTTTTAAATGTAGGTTTATTTATTAAATTATTACATTTTTAGCTCTCGCTGATCTACCACTTGAACAACCGTATCCAACTTGGTTTGTGGTAGTGCTCATTGTTACAGTATTTTGTCTGACTGTTGCATTCGGAGTAGTCTGTTTCGTGTTATGTAAGTAAATTTTGATTATATTTTACTTATTTTCAGTCATAAATGGGTTTATAGAAAAATTGACGAAAAACAGTTAGAATTTGTATTTATATTTAACAATTTTGTTCACTTCTACCTATATAATCATTACAATACATATACATATATCCTAAATATAATAATAATTAACCACATTATAATTATTTTGAAATATAATTACGATCACAGAAAACTAACTAGAATTAGAACTATTTTGTTACAGTAGATTTGTCGCTTTGTTTTCTCGTGTAGCACTAGTTCTAAAAGATTGTAGAAGTACAGCACTAAGTCGTTCCGGTGCAAGGTGGAGTGTTACAGCACTCTGGTTCATTAAAATATGTCCAAAAATGTGTAATCGCTCGTAAACTTAGAGGTCGCTGGTTAAATGAATTTAGAAATAATAATGGAGAAAAAATGCAATATTTTGACTGTAAATACATTAGCGAAAAATAACAACTATTAATTGTGAATAACTTACGAGAATTAACTAGCTTTACTCATTACTGTTATCTGTACAAAGAATGGACACACCTTTTGAAATATTGATGTATTTGTAGCCAGTGGATTAGATTGGTAGCGTTGATTGTCCCGATGCCCGGCGCCGAGGTTCAGAAGAGAACTTCACCGAAAAAATGGATGTTTTCAGTACGCTGGCTCTTTATAAAGTGGTCAGAACAAACTCTCTCACCATTCTTAGGTAGTCTATGAGACAAGTGCTCCACCATAAATCAACCCTATTGTAGGGCGCTTCTGAATAGCGACAATTAAATTCAATGGTCACAGTTATACGATACTTTACACGTTTTGCGTGTATTGGCGACACAAAAATAACAAAAGTGAAAGTCAAATTCTCTGAACTTAAAACAGAATAAGTGAGCTAGCCAGTTTAACAATACGATTTTAGTGAATAACAGGAAACAATATATTAAAAAAAAATTAGGTAGGATATACCATTAAATTAGATCATATTACAGTTGAGTAAAAGAAAGTAAAAAAAAAGTAAAAATATGAAAAGACTTTCCCAAACAAATACAATTTATTAATACACTTTAGTTCAAAAAACAACTCAAAAGCGAAATTTGAGATGTTACCTCCTGTTTCAATGTAAAAGCTATGAAAATAAAAATATGTAATGTGCATACAATACAAATATTATGCAATAGGAACTACGAAAATAAAAATATGTAATGTGCATACAATACGAATATTATGCAATACGAACAGAGTTTCCTAATATTCATCATTGGAACGAACGCAAGAAAGACAGTTTCAACAGAGAAATCATTAAATAAAAAAGTAATTCCTTTGTTGTTCAGTATTTGATATTACTACTCCTACTTCTAATTACACTTTCAAATCGATTTCACATGAATCAGATGGCTTTTATAATGAGTTCTTGAGGCATTGCTTCTCATTCATCATTAAGCGCAGCTCTTCATTTTATTATGCTCCCTGGTGTATGATTTTTGTCCCGGACCCTTTGTTTAAGCTCATCCCAAACATGCTCTATTGGATTTAAGTCCGGGCTCAAAGCAGGCCAATTTAATGTAGGTATACCGATCTCAGTCAGATATGTGGTGGTGACTAGTGCGTTATGGCATTACGCATTAACATAAAGGCATCATCAATAAATCCTGCGTATGGAACCACACGATCCTCCAAAATGTCTCAGATGTAACGATCCGCAGTTAAACCTCCTCCACATCATATACCAAACACGAAAACCAACTCGGTTTTCGCATCCATGGAAATGCCTGCCCAAAACATACAAGAACGTTATCCACATGACACAGTTTCTCGTATACAATATTGAACAAATCGCACTGCTGACCTTTTATAGACTCGACGATTCTTGTAGTTGCGTGTAGGCAGATTCTACTTTCGTCGGAGAATAATACCTGACTCCATTGACAGTCGTCCCAATCCAGATGTTCGTGAGCAAATTCTAATCGCCTTTGTTTCTGGGCTGCAGTTATCTTGGACCAGTAGCTTCCTTTTTGGTGTCAGGTTGGCTGCCTTCAGTCTCTTTCTGACTGTTCAAACGCTCGTAACCACACCTCGGATCTCTCTAAGCTCTTCTTTGGGTTACCGGCCTTCTTCTTGTCGACGGATATAATCACCCGTATCTTGATACCGACTATACACTCGGGACACAGCGAATTGGCTTAAATTCAGTCAAAAACAAATCTTTTTTAAAACTATATATTGAGGTTAATGATTGTACACTAAATGTTTTTAAATTTACACGTTTTAGATTGACTGTTTCAATCTAAAACGTGTAGTTTTAGATTGAAACAGGAGACATACTTTCGTAAAAAAGCTTTTAGTCGATTATTTTGCACTCAAATGTATATATAATATATTGTAAATCAAACTGTGTAACAAATCAAAACATATAAACAAAATTCTTACTCTCAAAAAGCGGCAACACTGTAAACAATGTTGCCAAATGCTGAACTGTCCGAACTGACCGTGCCATGATGTTCATTTCACACTAGCCAGTGTAGCCTACACTCAACTAAACTCGAAAGTGCTATACTAGAAAGCAAAGGAGCAGACCTAGTATTTCTTGTAAAACTGTTGCGTGTCATCGATTTTAACGTTGACATTTTCGCATAGAGTTGCCGTATTGTCAGGAGTGTAAAGAATATAGAAAATTATGAAGTCAAGGTTACTATTATTATAATTTTTTTTGTTCAGATAAATGGAATTCTCATAAATCCTATTTTTATTTATTGATAAAATCTTCTTATTCTTCGCATTCTTTTTATATAGACATGACTCTGTCTGTTTTTCAATGTGTCTTCATTAAGTTGTCATTCCATCGTTTTCTCGGTCTTCCTACTGATCGTCTTTCTATTGGGGAACCGTCTCTTGCTGTCTTTACTAATATATCTGTTGTCATTTGTTATCATGGATAAAGTCAAGAGAAATAAAGAAAATAAAGATAATATTTACCACTCAACAAAAACTTTCATCTCTTGTCTGATCAATCAACGACAACATTCCAAATGAACAACACGGAGTTTATGAAATTTCTTGTGCAGACTGCCCCCGATCCTATATAGGCCAAAAAACCGTAGAACTAGAATTTATGAACATTCCATTTCTGTTCGTAATTCCTACTCAATTTTAGGCTAATTTCATCATCTACCTATCTCCACCTCTTCCTGTTTCTCTATTTCCCTTTCCATTGATTAGTTTTCATGATTTTCCCCCCCACCATCTTATTCTCGGTCTCCCTTGGCTTCTTCGTTGAGTTGGGGTCCCTCTCATAATTTTTCGATGATATCTTCTATCCATTATAAGCATTGTCATTTAAAATCCTTAAGGAAAATAAAATTTCTGTAATTGGTTGTATTCCATAAATCACAAAAATTGTATTTAAAAGATTTTTTATAAAAGGTATATAATTAAAAATATCCTTTCGGGCTGCATCACAAAATGTTTTCAGACTAACAAATCCATCATCAGTGTATTTGTTATTTATTACATCTTTGCTGAATTCTAGCTCGTTCATAGTATCTGCTTGAAATGAATTGTTCTACACCACTAATCTTAGTAATATAATGCTATTTACAATTACTTCTTTACTAGGAATGTAAAGAAGAGTGGTGTTGTTAATATTAGGTACTTTACAATTTTCATGTATTGAAACTATTGTTTATTATTCCTTGTTCACGCCTTCTAACTTTTCAAGATAATAAGTGGATTAATAGATAGTGCCAAATATGTCATAGTTACTTACTTTAAGGCAGTTTAAAGTTTTACCTTTGGTTTCAAATATATACTTTTTAATTTTGTTTGTTTTTTGATAAATATCCTTAGTAATGTAATAGATGCCCTTTTCGCAGATAATCGTTATCAACTGAGAGCAACGGGCATCATGAGGAGAAAAATGTTCTCTGGGCCAGACCTTCAACTAGATAGACTTCGCGTAGCGTCAGATAGTATGATGACAGAGTACAATCCAAATTATGAATTCGGCGGGGTAGTCTACACTCTCAAAGATCTCAAAGATATTCCAAGAGAACAGCTCCGTCTAGTAAAGTAAGTTTTTCGGTCAGAATTAACTGGTAAAACCTGTTATAAAAACCTGCTTCTTAAATTGAGATTAATAAAATATAGAGATGTATGAATATTTTTTCAACTATTCTCTATTTAAGTTTTTTATGCTTTGAATGTATTCCGCTGTAAGCAGTTATAATATTGTTCTTGTAATTGAATATTCAATATACAAAAATTTTTATTGAAGCCCAGGAGTCTCCAGTAGTTCATATTCAGTATTTTGTTTACGACAATGTGCTAATCTATTCGTTTAGGTTTTGGAATCTAAACCAGAAAGCCAGTATGCGTATATATTTAAGAAGTTCTTTAGCCTGGACAACTTTATACTATACTTTTTCTTCAAGGGAGTTGTTTTTAATTCTAAAGGAAGTGAAAAGAAACACCTTTTTTTCGATATATTAACTACAAAGTACTCGTCCAGGTGTCGACTTCTTTTATATCGTGGAGAATATAAACCTTGATTCTTCTTCTTCTCGTGCCATATCAAAATTATTTGACTTTGGCGATCATCGTTGAAATAATAAGGGGGGTATTTGATATCTGAGTCCATTCACGAATGTTTTTTAACCAAGAAACCTGTTTTCTTCCTACATCTCTCTGGTCTTCTACATTGCCTTTAAGGATTGGTTACCTTAGTTTAATATCTGCACCAAGGGGTTACTGATTAGATCCAACATCTGCTTCTGGAAATGCAGTGGTTTTTGACATGTCAAAAGCGCTCACTTACAATTTTATTATATAATCTATTTAAATTCTTAAAGATCCAGGGTTGCTGCCATCAACAAATGATGCTTTCCAAGTATACAGTCGTCGATGGGTAGTTTATACCAGGTGTTTGCAACGAGCATGTCGTTATCCTTAAAAAACTTATTCAATCTCTGTCCTTGATCGTTAGGTTCTTCAAAACCATAGGGACGTACAGTTTGACCTTGTCGACCTTCTTTAATTTTTGCACAACGCTCTAATTGGGACTCTGGCAAAACAGTAATTCTAGAAGTCGAATTAACCATTTTGTCAGCAAAGTTCTGAACATCTACATCTGTATTTTTCTGGAATCTCGTATTAAAGTGCTGATTCAGCATTCATATATTATTTTATATAACAATATATAAAATTTCATGTTAATTAAGCTTCTGTAAAATGTCTAGGATTTGATCACAGAACTTTTCGACTTCATATTTATTCAGTTCTGATATCACTAATAACCTACACCATTTCTGTGATGCGTATCTTTTGTGCTATTACTGAAATAATATAAATACACTACCGTCTTTTTTAAAAGTTCTGGACTCTGGCTATTTCAATTCTCTGATTCCCAGTAGATCCATTTTCATTATTTTTATTTTTTAAATTGCATTTTCAGCAAGTTTTTCAGCCGCAAATAGACATATTCCATGGGCATATTCTCAAATTAGATTTTATTTTCTCCAGGATTTTTTTACTAAATTTTCGCATGTTTACGACCTGATAGGTCCCGTTTTATAAATATGTTTCCCCTCTCCTGTCAAATTTTGGCTACACTTTCCATGATTAGTAACGGTTTGCAGCTGAAGTGTTAATTCTATTATGATTTTCCTGAGGGTACTCTATGAGTCTTTAATGATGCAGTGGTTTCCCAGGCTTGCCTTCTGAATTCTTATGCCGTTGATTATTTGTTAATTTATTCGCATTCGGGGCCGATTTATCAATTTTAGTTCAAAATAATGCACTATCACTTACCAATTTATCCGCCCGAAGCCATTTGTCAGTAAGTAGGGGATTACTTACACCAGCAATCACTCGGACGTCAGAACCTTGTTTGTTAACTAGCAGGGTGTACCGGATGATCAAAATCAAGTTCATCACATGGGAAGGTAAGGTTGGCATTTGAATAGGAAAGGCTATACATTGCGCATCATTATCCATTACATTCCGAACTTTGAATAATAATCTTGATTAATAAGGTTTACTAGGGTATCTTTTATGGACCCTATTTCATTATCTGATACCATTTCATATGGGCAATGCTGGGCACTACCGCTGTCTAGATCCATATTAGAGTAGTTTTGTTACATCGATTATAGTCATTTGGGTAAGAAGTAGTTGGAAATTTCCGTGGTATAATGACCTTACTCGTGTCAAGATGCTGCTCCCTCATGTTCCTAAGTTTCATTCTTTAAGGTCCGAATAAGGATTATTTTCAGTTTCTTTTATAAAAATACGTAAAGCGTCCTCTAATATTGGTTTCTGTTTCGATTTTGTGAGAACTGGTAAATCTTTCTTACTCTACTAGACATCACTGTTGGAAATTTTCCGATTCTTTGGGTTTTTCTAAGAGTCACCTGTTTTTTTATTTTTATTGATTTGATCCATTCTGGTACCACTATTGTACTATTTATGTAACAATTCGGCAGTGTTCCTAACTCATTACGCTCCTTATTACATCAAAGTTGAAGAACACCATGGAGAAAGACAAAACTATGTAAATGAGGTTAAGATTATACCTTTATACAAATTGTTCGTTTGTATAAAAGCATGACTAAAGAAATGACTAAAGCATGATCATGGATCATAATTTTAAGATACATAATTAATCGATTTTATTCAGTTTTATTATAGATTTTTGGTTTTACTGGTAATTACTTTTATCCTAACTATTTAAAAAGTTAAATGTAGTGGTTTAATCATCATTGAAATTCGTTATCGTACAATTCGAGCTAACAAGCTTTCCATTTTGGATAAATTGAAAAAGAAAACATATAAGACGTTGGTGATAAAGGGGGCGATTTTAATTATTCACTAAGTTTCCTACAGTATAATACAATACAATTGTTGAATTTGTTCTTGGTTCTCTTCATAAAATAATATTTCAATAACTGGTAGTACGAGATTGAGAAGAGTCGGGCGAGTAGTAAGGGAAAACTTAACAATCGCGCTAAACTATCGGCACTGACGGTGTTTGATCATCAATGGCCACCATCGTGTTTCTGCGCTTCAGTTTAAGTTTATATATTTTAGAGATGACATGACTGCAGAATTTTTTGTTTGTGTAAAAATATAGCTAACGTTGAACTTTCCAATGACAATGTTACGTCAGTTTATCCACGAAAGAGACTTGTAAAGGTAAATAAGTGGCAGACAATCTATATTGACAATTGTGACCTATATAATTCTTACCTATCAAAGTAGTTAAACAGTAAATATGTAAAAAGGTTTGTTATAACAGGTAGTCCAAGCCATACACTGCATTGCATATATTATGTCTGTTGATCACATTATTCTTCTTACGGTGCCTATCCGTTCCGGATGTTGGCGATCAACATGGCTATCCTAACTTTGCTTGCTGCTATTCTGAATAGTCCAGTTGTCGATATGTTAAACCACTTTCTTAGGTTTGAAGCCAAGATATTCTTCTTCTCCCTGGTCCTCTCTTTCCAAATACCTTGCCCTGAAGAATGAGTTGCAACAAACCGTATCTCTGTTCATTCCTCATAACATAACCAAGATATTCCAGTTTGCGCTCTTTGATGGTGTTACTAATAATCTTACATTCCTTGCCTATTCTACGTAGGACCTTAACATTAGTCACACGATCCACCCATGAAATTTTTAAAATACGTCTGTATTTTACACATCTTGATCACATTAGGCAAGTATTATGTCGCAGTGCTTTATATAGCACTTATGGAAAGCGGGTTGGGATCGTACTTGAGAGAATCCACAGCTGCCGCACTGTTACTACAGATTAAACGGGGAAGAATGACAGCAAATAAAATAGGAAATGGAATTTTACGAGAAAACATGATATCAGTACATACTCTCAGCAGTCATTATAGTCATACCACAAGTGCTCACCGACTTACCTATTGGACTTAATCACAATACGCTTTAATCTCTCTACCCAAGTTGGCTCAAGTTGGCTTGAAGAAAATTACCATGGTCGTATCCCAATAAACAACAGCTGTTATCATAACATCTATGACGAGTAGTTCAATATTTGTTTTGAGCCTCCAAAAAGTGACACCAGTAATTATTACGATAAATTAGATAATACACTAAACAAATAACTAACCTGATGATTTTGAAACCGTTTCTTAAATAGCGCAACTTAAATAGAGAATAGAACTACATTTGACTTGTGCAAAAGATGTTCAGCCGCTTTTGCAAAATCATTGTTTAAGGTCAGAACAAAAACTTAAAGCTTGTTTAGATAGTAGTAGATTCAGATATTAAAGACTGTATTATGATATCATGCCACTCATATCTACCTTGTGATAGGGATTTTGGAAATATTGAGCGGGAAATAAAGAATGCCACTGTATACTCTACGGAGTACTATAAGTTAATGATCGAAAGTTGTCCGAAAAACCATTTTTTTCCTAAAAGATATGATTTTAAATCGTAAGCTTAACCTATGAAAAAGATATTTTTTTTAACTTTAAAAGTTAATTACTAAAGGGCAAATAGGTAGTACCAAATATAAAGATGGAAAATGTTTAAAGTTACAGATAGTTGAAAGCAGGATTTTAATAAATACATAAACGTACAATCCAGCTCTGATAGAGATGCGCATTCCAATGGAATAGAGGACTCCACATGTCCGAAGATAAACTGGTTACACTCCCTAATAGAGTGATACTTATCTGACACCCAGACCTATAAATGGAGGCCTTTGTACTGATCATTACTTTGAAAGCCCTGAATAATGGGACATCACTGTGGTTTAAGCCACCTGATTTTTGGGGTAGCTAGAAGTGTTTTTCTTCCATTGAATTCCTGAATTTAGGTTAAATTGACATTGGGTTAAAGGGACTTGTATCCCCAAAAAATGTGTTTTACAGACAGTGAGCCATCGACCTAAGTCGGTGTCTCTCTGTCTGGGTTAGGTGTGCTCGCTAACTCAGCCGCCGAATTGGTTGGAAAATATGAATTTATAAAATATAAATCCTTATGCCTTTCTAAATGGATCGGTTAAAAAATACTATTTTAAAAATATTGTACTTATGTTGACTTACCTTATTTTGCAGAGCTTTAGGACAAGGAGCATTTGGTGAAGTTTATCAGGGCTTTTACCGACAGCGTCCCTGCGACACTGTTGAAATGCCAGTAGCAGTTAAAACTCTTCCGGAAATGTCAACATCTCAAGCAGAAATGGATTTCTTGATGGAAGCTCTTATAATGTCCAAATTCAACCATCCTAATATCGTTCATTTTATAGGAGTGTGTTTTGATAAACATCCTAGGTTCATCGTACTGGAGCTACTGGCAGGAGGGGATCTTAAGAATTTTCTAAGGGAATCCAGGCCTAAGCCAGTAAGTAACACTATTAATGTTTTTCTTTAAATGTAAATCTTACCCAAATCATGAATGTGTTGCTTGTGTGAGTCTATTTCAAATAGGTAAAATAAATAATAAATAAGACTTACTCACAATCAGTTTAATTTAACTATCTAGACGACCGGTTTCGCTTTCTACAATATGAAAAGCATCTTCAGGTCTCGATACAAAGTTTATTAAATGCTGAAATAATAAAACCCATATTAGGGTGTTGTCTTATAAAGATAAACAAAGATAGATGATATAAATTACAGTAATTATGCCAATATTACATATCTGTGGTTTTTCAAAATAAATAAAATGTTTAAGCAGACAAGGTAAGACCCACAAATTAGTATAAAATAGTCTATTAAATTGTAATAAATTAGTAAATAAATAAATAAAACATTACTTACATGCCGGTACTCTATTAATTAATGGTTGGAAGAACATGGTTCAAACTATCCTATATTGTTGAATGAAGAACTTAAGTCTGCTATTGTAATTGTTAGACAATGAACAGGGAAGTTCTTGAGGAGGTAGATTTTATCCAATGAAGTAGAGATAGGTGTAATGTAAGTGTTTGTTAGATGAGAGTGATGTTCTATATTATTGAATTATTTAAAAGTTATTTATATTTATTCAAGAGATATATTTATGAAATGTGTATTATTTATTGAGATTTTATGAAGGTGACTGTTGTATGACACTAAATAAAATTAGATGTACAAATTGTGTGGATGTGCAGTTCTTTCAACTTGTAATTATCAAATTTCTTTGATAAAGTTCTATTGACTTATATATGGCAAATGATTGTAAAGTCCAGTATATAAAATTATTACTTGACAGTAAGTAAGTAGAAGTATTAGACAAGGCGAAAAGCTGGGATTCCGTTCGGAAAAACATTCCAATGCGATTTTTTGCATAATCGAGAGAGAAAAGTTGAGTAACTTTTTTGAAACAATTTTTTTTTACAAATTGTTACAATCAATTGTTTCGAACCGGATCGTTTTTTTAATGTTTTGGATCATTTTGAAAAAAGGGGTATTTTGTAGTTTTTCTGTAAACTTATTCGTTTTCAAGTTATAAATAATTTAAAATGGAGAACGCGAACTTGCTTTTTTTGAAGGCTTAAAAATACAATTACACCTCAATGCTCGGTAATCAGCCCCCAACGCTTTTCCTTATAGCAATTATTGATATAATCAAATCAATGAATAGACTCATTTAAGTAAGATTGTAAGCGCATGATCTTATAAAATTTTTTAAAAGGGAAACAGTATATAGAGTATGACCAAATTACTACAAGATAAACTCGGTAAATTTATAAGAATGGTGTCTAAAAGTTTTAGACACCATTCAAAATACCGCTCTTAGGATAATATGCAACAACCCCTATCTTAAGTCTTTAGGCTGAACTTGGTGAACTACCATTAGATTTAAGGAGAAAGGTTTTTTTTTTAATAAATGTAGTTTCGAGCTCTTTTGATTGGGATATAGTTACATAGCTATCATATTTTATCATTGGCATTTACTCCCAAACGAGTATATTCCATGCTACGGTTAGTAACAAAAATAATACTCAGTGTGCGTTCTACGGTCACTAAATAGGCCGATTCTGAAACCGCATACACGATCATAATCATGGTAAGCCCAGTCTGGAATATTTAAATGGTTAAGTTTTAGTGCTTTTCTTCGATTTCTCTTCTAAGACTCGTGACTTCGTCGCTGTTGTTTAAAATTTATATACATTCATACACTTTTTTTTCGACATACATTTATTTGTGTTGTTTTTGAGATTTTCCCTTTATTACTTCTATTGTTCTCCTTGCTTGCTTTGATCTTCCTAATTGGTGAGAACAGTATTCGTTTTGGGAGAAATTTTTTTATCGGGTATTAAGACGACGTGCCCAGTCCACCTAAGTTGGTATTTCACAATGATGGCTTCAATACTTGTTGAATTAACACCTTCCAAGCTGATATTGGTTCTTCGATCCTTCCTTCGATATTGGTCACTGTCAGAATTCTTCTAAGATGATGTTGGTGATATTTTTCCAAAGACTTTAGGCATCGCCTATAGGTAGTCCAAGTTTCATAAGTAAGTGTAGGAATCACTATAGCGTGGGCAACTTGAAGTTTCGTGTGGATTCTGTGGTGGTTATCAAAGACGCTTGTCATAAGGAGGCTAAAAGCTGCACTGGTATACCTCACTCGGTACTGAATTTCTTTAACGGAATCTTTTTCTGAGTTAGCCATGATCACGTTATCATCCGTACTGAAGCTTGAATGCTGATGTTAGGGACGCCTTGGTTTTGATATGGAGGAAACTAGTACACAGTTTATCCAGAGAATAAATAAGAAAGAATATGCGCTGACTTGACCAGTCAGCAATCTCACACTTTTGGCCAAGAAACGCATAAGCGCCCAAAACTCCACAAGGATCTTGATTTATCATAAGTTTACTCATTTTTTATTTTAACGAAGTCAGCATTGTTTTTTTTATTTTTGTTTATTCTTCGTAAATTAGTAGGTACTCATCACAATATATTTGCATAACTAAGAAAAGATATTGGCCCTTATAGCTCAGGCGATAGTCTGACTTAAACAGAGTAGGAAGTGTTATGCGCTCTCTTAACCAGAATGATTCTACATCCTGTTTGCATACATTTTTCCTTTTTCCTTTTATATTCTAGCCTTTTTGTTGGTAGACTTTAAAAACGTTTTGAACCGATATTTTTAATTATAAAATATAATATTTATTTGTTTTTAGGAAAGAGCCAGTCCTTTGACAATGAAAGATTTAATTTTGATATCGGTTGACGTAGCAAAAGGTTGCAAATATTTGGAAGACAACAGATTTATACATCGGGACATCGCAGCTCGAAACTGTCTTCTTACAACAAAAGGTCCTGGAAGAGTCGTTAAGATAGCCGATTTCGGAATGTCAAGGGACGTTTACAGGTAAATAGCTATATTGTGTTATCAGACAAAGTTTTCCTAAAGATACTTGTACTCTTTTAATTAGAAATCACTAAAATATTTTTAGATTAGGTAAATTTAAAAATGATTTTGTATACACTTTTATATTCTGGTGATAACATATCGTTATTTTGGTACTCTATTAACAAACATAGAATAACCACATGATTCACTTACTGTGAAATACATTTGGGTACTAGTCGTATCACCATGATAACTTGGAAACATCAGTTGCGTAGCATAGCACTGATATCATTAGTAATATTTATGCATGGAATTTCTCGCAGTAATATATATATTCCCCTTGTCTCCACATGGTATCATACGCTGTTAATAAATTATTGAAAATAGTAGATATTTTCAGCTACTTTTAAAAGTTCATTTTTATAGTCAGTCAGTGCTAGAATTTGGTCCTTGCAGCTAAGGTTTGGTCGAAATCATCGTTATTCCATATGTATATGTTGAAGTATTGTTTTGCTAGTCTTATTATATAGCAATCTTTCAAAAAGTTTGTCGACGATACTTAAAAGTGAATTTACGGTAAATTTTTGGTATATCGTTAGCTTTCCCTAATTTTTAAATAGAAAAAATGTCTGAGAGGAGCTTTGCAAGGCATTGCCTAGTAAATATGCCCCTGTGCTTTAAAAACTCAGCATAAATACCATCAAAGCAAGGGGTTTTTCGGTTTTTATTCCATTAAGAGCTTCCGTAAGTTCTTCACAGATAAAAGGGTTGGAATATTCTGTTTTAAGTAGATAATTAAAGTAGTCTTTTCTAACTTTATTTATGTGTAAGCGGTTTTGAGGAACTTGAGTTTTTAAAATATAGATGTTCAACTATCTCGTTACATTTCTCGTTAGTGGTATTAATGCTTTAGAGAAATTTGTCTGCAATTTCCTGCTTTTCGTCTTCACAGAATTTTACATACAGTTTTTTTTTCACCCAGTGAGAAATCACTAGAGTATAATAGGCCAGCGTTTCCGTGTCTGATTGACCTAAAGAAAGCGTTTGGCAAAGTAAGACTCAAAGATGTACTTAATCCATCTTCTGTACAATTGAGAAGTTCCCCTAAATATTATAAAAACTATCGAAACCTCTACAAACACAACAAAATGACAGTCACAATAGATGGACAACTTACAAAACCTATAGAAATAGTCAGCGGAATAAGACAATAGGATTCATTGAGCCCCATGCTCTTCGCAGAAAATTCGAACATGACCTTTCTTGATGCTGATAGAGGTTTACCTTTGTCGTCAGTAGTAAGAAAATAACGATCGGGGTTATACTCTCTTTTCCAAGCTGCAGATCTGAAAGTGCCTCTATACTTGGCGTCGAATTCGAGGTAGATAACATGCCCTTCTTCCACATCTCATGTGAGAATGAGAGAATGTGATATGAGAGTAGGGGCTTTGTAAATATTAGCTATTTTGATATCGCCGATTTTCAAAGTTATCTTATGTATAATGTTCTTGGTAGAAGTGGAAATTAAGGCTACATTTTTCATGTTTGTGCGTACATATATTGCTATACCGGGGGCTCTATTGTAGGTAGCATCCAGTAAATCATAGCCTGTAATTTTTCCTCTTTATCTCAGTTGAACTTCATTTACTTGTTTTTTGCATTTCGACAAGATTAATAAGTTTTCTCTTAAAAATCTGTGTTTTCTCTTAGGGTGCACATGCAATATTATACTATTATTATATGCTTTAATAATTAGTAGTATCATATGCTTTGAATCCGTATTCTAAACAATAGAGTTCAGATGTGGAATTACAAATCTGAATATCTTCGTTACTTAAGCGTTTGTTAGAGTTTAGGGTTTATCCTATTTAGATCCAGCCTGACGACTCTATTCCTACTACAAATTTAACAGTTGACCGTTCCAGAAGTTAACTGTACATAGAAATATCCATTTATATACGATATATAGTCATAATAGAGAACAATAAGAACATAAAAGTACTGAAAACATGTAAATCCATTCGAAGCAATAAAATCATAAAGATAAAAGACGACCGTGGAACATTGTGCTCGCATAAGGAAGAGATCGTTAGAGAAATCCGAAAATTTTATGAGAAGCTATATACTTCTACTATTCCGAACCCTGGTATAGGAACAAAATATATCTTAAATGTGGGCTCAGAGGATCTCCATGAAATAATATCATCAGCAATTAGAGCCGCCCTAAAACAAATGAAAAATGGGAAAACACCAGGAGAAGATAAAAATAATTCGAAGATGCTAAAAATGGGAGGCACTGCATTAGAAGAGGCAATGCGAGCATTACGGAATAAATGCCTATTGGAAGGACAAATACCAAAGACATGGAAAAATGCGGAAGTCATTCTACTCCAAAAAAAGGGTACGCCGCAAATATAGAAAACTACCGACCAATAAGCTTATTGTCACACCTATACAAACTATTAACCAGAATAATAACAAATAGATTGACAGCTAAACTATATGCATACCAACCAGTGGAGCAAGCAGGCTTTCGTAAGGGTTTTAGCACTATCGATCACTTGCAAACAATCCGGACAGTTATTGAAACAACAATAGAGTACAACATACCACTACATCTGGCATTGTCGATTATCACAAAGCATTCGACAGTATCGAGAAATGGGCTTTCTTAACAGCATTGGACGACGCCAGAGTAGATTCAAGATATGCTGCCCTCCTTAAGAATATATACAATGATGCTACTTTTCACGTAAAAATAGATGATGATCTGGAAACTATAAAAATAGACCTTGGCAAAGGTGTGAGACAGGGCGACACCATCTCACCCAAATTATTTATTTTGGCATTAGAAAATGTTTTCAAAAAACTAAATTGGGCCGAAAAGGGATTAACAGTAGATGGAGTATATCTCAACCATTTGCGTTTCGTAGACGACATAGTACTAATAAGCACAGATATCCATGAACTGAAATTAATGCTACAAGATTTAAATCACAAATCGAATCAAATAGGATTAAAAATTAATCTCGACAAAACAAAGATATTAAGCAACAGCCTAGAAAACATCACGATAGATAACATCAATATAGAAAAGGTAGATCAATATATATATATATATATATATATATATATATATATATATATATATATATATATTTATATATATATATATATATATATATATATATCTATCTTGGACATGCAATTAAAAACGAAAAGGAAAACCAAACTCTAGAAATTAAAAGAAGGACACAATTGAGCTTCATTTTAAAAGACAAAAAAATTCCAATTCGCTTAAAACGAAAAACCTATGACACTTGTATACTACCAGTTGCAACTTATGGGTTGGAAACTATGGCAATAACAAGAAAAATGGCAGAACAATTAAGAGTAACTCAACGGGCCATGTTAAATATAAGCCTCAGAGACAAAATTTTTAACACCGAAATACGTCGAAGAACTAAAGTAACCGACATCATGGGAAAAATAGCGACATTGAGATGGCAATGGGTAGCACATGTAGCAAGACAAGACACCAACAGATGGTCTCATAAAGTGACATTCTGGAGACCTCGATAAACAAAAAGAAGCGTAATAAGACCCAAAAAGAGATGGATAGACGATATAACAGCTGTAGCTGGAAAACAGTGGATGAGAATCGCAAAAGATAGGGAAGCGTGGAAGCAATTGGTGGAGGCCTATGTCCAAGAATGGATAAATGAAGGCTGAAGAAGAAGATATAGTCATTAACTTTTTGGTTAATAGTAGTAGTAAAAAAATTCTTAATGCTTTTTAAATATTCCTTCTGTACTTTTTGTAATTCTTTTTACTCGATTTAAATATATTTTTCAGGTCTGATTACTACAGAAAAGGCGGAAAAGCCATGTTACCTATAAAATGGATGCCACCGGAAGCATTTCTTGATGGCATTTTCACAAGCAAGACTGATGTTTGGTCATTTGGGGTTCTTTTGTGGGAAATCATGTCCATGGGGTATATGCCTTATACGGGCTGTGCAAATAGGGATGTCATGCAATTAGTCACTAGTGGCGGAAGGTTAGAGGCGCCAGCTAATTGTCCAGGTAAGTTAAATAAATATATTTTCCTAATTCTATGTATGAAAAATAGAAATAGAATATGACAGATATAGATTGAAGACTGTGTGTTAGAAAATATACCACACTTTAAATATCTAGAAGTATCCGTAAAGAAATTAATGATCGAAGCTTAAAAATTAACTAGTGAATTCTGGCTTGAAATCGAACTTACCAAAAATACTTAACCCGCGATCACTGTCGATGTTAGAAAAAATCTAACAAATTCGAATTTACCCTTATATTTTTGATTTTCGGGTAGTTATGATTTAAAGCTTCTAGATATGCCTGGTGATGCTTTGGATATATCGCATTTTAAAGCGAAACAATGGGTTGGAGTGGGAGGTGCGGACTGTGCGGTGCACGTTGGATAAAATCTAACACGACAGTGATCGCGTACTCGCTATCGAGTAAGGTTGTTGTTTATTTCGTGTAGTCTGTCGAGATTATTTACGCTCGTCTTTTACACTTATTATCTAAAATGGATGAGAAAACACAAGAACAATTGATAAAATGGTTCGAGGAGTGTGAGAGTGATGTGGAAATGGATAAAAACTCGGATTCAGATGCTCCATTTGGGCATAGTGAATACTGTTCCGATACAGAACAATCTGGGTTGAGTGAGAGTGAGGAAATAATTGAAAGTGAGCCGGTTCCATCCACAAGTGCTTCAAATATAACTATTTTGCCAATTGATGTGCCAATCTCTAGAGGAAAAGACAAAACAGAGTGGCTTCATCACAAAAGAACTGATCTCAGAAATAAAACTTCCCGGCAAAATATAATTACGAAGTTGCCAGGCGTAAAAAATGTAGCGAAACGATATAAAACAGCTCTAGGTTGTTGGAAATTGTTTTTCCCCGATTAGATCATTTCTTATATTGTTGATTGCACCATTCAAAAATTAGATAAAATGAGGCCATCATACAATAATTCAAAAAACTGCGCGCCAACCGATTTTATAGAAATTAGTGCATTCTTGGGTTTGCTTTATCTGGCCGGAGTCAAAAAAACTCAGCATTTGAATACCGCAGAGTGATGGAGCACCGATGGAACCGCACCGGACTTTTTTGCGGCTACATTATCAAAATATCGGTATCATATTCTGGTTCAAGCTATAAGATTTGACGACAGCAATTCAAGGAAGGAACGAACAAAATTTGACAATTTAGCCCCTATACGTCACATTTTTGATGCCTTTGTTCAACAATGCTTGAATAATTACACAATTAGTGAATACGCAACAATTAATGAAATGTTGGAAGCATTTCGGGGTAGATGCAAATTTAGACAGTATATTGCTAATAAACCGGCAAAATACGGAATTAAAATATATGCGCTTTGTGATGCTAGAATGTTCTATACATCTAATATGAAAATTTATGCTGGCAGACAACCCGATATGCCTTTCCAAAAGCCCAATGATGCGAGTAGTAAAATGACTTATTCAACCAATTAATAACTCAGGAAGAAATGTTAATATGGACAACTATTTTACATCGGTTTCTCTAGCCAATGATTTATACGAAAACCACAGATTAACTATAGTAGGTACAATACGAAAAAATGGCCCAAATTCCTCCAATGCTACTGGATGTTAAAAATCGGCCAATAAAAAGTTCCATATTTTTGTATGGTGACAAAGAAGGAAATACGAAAAACAATTGTATATTAGCTTCTTACGACCAAAAAAGAACAAAAACGTACTAATGTTATCAACATTGCATGACGATGATTCCATAGATCCTTCATCCCAAGATCTGAAAACTGAGGTCATTACCTTTTACAACAGTACGAAGGGAGGTGTAGATGTCGTTGATCGGCTAAAATCAGAGTATTCTGTGAGCAGAATAAGTAACCGTTAACCCCTTACTGTCTTTTGTACTCTACTCAATATTGCCACTGTAAATAGCCAGATAATTTTTAGAAGCAATACTAATGTAATTTTAAAACGAAGAGCTTTCATTACTGATTTGCACAACTGACAAAACTGACAAAACAACTTGCACTACCCCATGTAACTCGTCGGGCATCTAAAATACATAACGTAGCTGGAATCAAACCTCAACCGGCACCGTCAACAGCAAATAATGAAAAATCAAGATGCCTTTACTGCCCAGTAAGAAAAAACCGCTTTACCCAACATCGTTGCAATATTTGCACAAGCCCAATTTGTAAAGAACACACGCAGAGAACAAGTTATACATGCACGGAATGCACAGATGACGATAATGATGAAAATTAAATCATTGTAAGTTTTTTGTTTACTTACCTTTTTAGCTTACTTATTCCCTTTTTGTGTTTTTTTTAGGCAGTGAGACAGAATAACGTTAATCAATTGTTCGCAGAGTCTAAGCGAAACAGGGAATACTTTGCTTACCAAAACTTACTTTTTCTTATCTTTTAACTTACCCTTTCCGGTTTTGTTGCCATAATTATGTTAAGTTTGTATTTATGTTAAGTTTTATTGAAAAAACACTAATGTTAGATAAAATCTAACACGACAGTGATGGTGTAATAAAATTAACGACATTGATGCTGGGTTAATAGACAAACTTATTCAAAGATAAGCGCATCTCACTAAAAACAGAAAACTGTTAAATTACATTTACACCTTAATTATACCAGTAATTACACATGGTGCTAAAACAATGTACTTGACAAAGACCAGAAAATATTAAGGATCTTGGAGAAACAAATAAATCGAAATAAGCAGGACCAATAAACCTAGATAATAGTGAATTTATAAAATCGATAAACCATGAAATAAGTGGAACTATTAAAAGTAAGATTTATAAAAGCCCAAAGATAAATAAGACAACTCGAAAAGCGATATCTAGAAACAGTTATCAACATCACTAACTATAAATTATTAAGAAGTACAGCATGAGAATGACCCAAAATGCTATGGGAGGACCAGATAATTGAGGACGTTGAAAAGCTTGATCTCAGAATCTGGATAGTTAGATACATAAATAGGAAAATAATGAGAAAATATTGTAGAAAATGCCAAGTAACAAAACCAATTTAATGCGGATGCATGCTGTGCTGATTAATGCGGATGAATGAATTATTAGAAGAGTCCGAAGAAGGATTCAATAACTCCGCTATGAGGGAGTATGTTTTGATGATGATGATAATGATGATGATATGATTCTATAAAATTAACTATAATACCTCGGCAGCGTCTAACAAAAACTATAAAATCGACTAAAAGATTCAATTAAGACAGGAATATGCCTTATCTCCTCTATTATTTAATACCTATTAAGCAAGTATTGTAAAGCAAGACTTGAAAAAAATGTTGTTGTTGTTTGTTTGTGTTTAAATGACTGCGGACACTAAATCCATTCGCCAATCTTACAATTTGTACTCATTTTTTCATTAGTCATTGTTTCCTATACAATCTTATACTAAATTCCTACTAATACTAATCCTACTATTACTAGTATTGATCCCTAATATATAGTCATTTTTTCCTATTAATTGTTTTTTAGTTATTTATATATAAGTATAATAAGTGATGAGGTCCTTAGAGTTCCACAGTAAACTTTTCTGCAGCTATCTACTTAATTCAATAGCTACTTTACTGTGGACTGTCCAAGTTCCTCAATTTTTCTTTTTTTTTATTTGTATTTTGTTTTATTTTTTTTATTTTTTTTTATTTCTTTCTTTATTTTTTTTTATTTGTTTCTTTATTTTTTTTTTATTTTTTTTTTATTTTATTTTTTTATTTTTTTTTTCTTTTTTTTTCTTTTTTTTTTCTTTTTTTTTTCTAACAAATTACAAAGAAATACTTACTCTATATTTACAATTACAATTTGAGTTTAATATCTAAAACATGTTTATACAATAATCTATATAGAAATTCATTGTTTTCTAATGTTAATAAATAACTTAAATTAATGGGATGGTGGACATCGGTCAAAGAATATAGCGAATTTAAAAAATTATTAACCTTATTGGAAATAAGAGAACAGTCTAAAATTTTATGTTGTAGGTTACCCATCTGACCACAAGTACATTGTGGACTATCAGCTATATTCATTTTAAACATATATGATGGTGTAAGACAGTGGTTAAATCTCATTCTGCATATAGTTCTTGTCATATCCTTTGTCGACTCCATTTTAGCAAACCAAGATTTATCCGTAATATGGTTTCTGATTGCTCTGTAATGCTTTCCTGTATTTATATTTTCATTAATATACCTTTCTTTCCATTCCTTCTTAAGCTCTTTGAACGTGTCTGATTCTATATCTCTAGACGTACAAAGATAATCAGTTAATACTCCTTGTGTCACAGCATTTTTTGCCAATTCATCTACTATCTCATTTCCAGTGATTCCACAATGGCTTTTAATCCATGCCAACTTAACAGTTTTGCCTTGTTGCTGAAGTTCTATAATTTTATTTATTATATATAATTCAACGTAATTTACTTTTGATTTAGGATTTATAGCACTAATTTTACTTACAGCACTTTTGCTGTCACTATAAATTATAAACTTTGAATGATCTATATTAGATAAATATTTTAGTGCTTCCACTATCGCTATTAATTCAGCTGTGTATATACTCATGATGGAATTGAGTTTAAACATTTTACTGTTTTTATTATTGTCATCCCAGTATGCACATCCCACACCTTCGATACTTTTGGATGCATCTGTATATAGTATATAATAATCTTTGAACAATTGTGAACTGTCAGATATAAACATTAATTTTCTTAAAGATAAAGGTAAATTGCTGTAGTCCCTTAAGAAGTATACCTGAACTTGTTCTAGAGTATTGAAGTCAAGATTGTAATTTGGGTTTATGTCATATTTATATAGTTGTTTATCATATATTGTCATTTTTGAATATAAATCTACTATATTTAGAGTTTTCTTTTTTATCCAATATTTTTCTGTTAAGTCTGCTAAGAACAGCTGGTGTATTTTGAATATTAAACTTGACTTTTTCTCGTACAATCTTACTAAAAGTCTGATGCCAAGTTTTTTTCGTCTTATATCCATTGGCATTTCACAGCATTCGACTTGTAG